GGGGGAACTGAATGTACCAGGCGCGTGAAGTTAGTGCTATATTTTATTCTTAGCGGCGCAGTTTCCTCGGCTAAATTCAGATCGAAATCCATTAGGTAAAGCGGGCTAATTTATTGACTACCGAGCTCAATTATATTGCGCGAACTCATTAAGATCGTTTTATACTATATACAACTACTATACGATGAACCCCTCACATAAGTCATTCAATAAATTTCTCCATGAGTGAGTCACGATGTTCCTTCATGCATGGTCTTGAGAGAACAAAAAACACCCAAAAGAACTGTTTGTAATTACAAAAGGGCGGATCCGCTATTCGAACTACGACCGGGTATGGAATAAAAATTGGCAACTGTTTTGGTAACGACCGGGACACGTGATGTTTTTCTTTCCTGATGGACAAAATATCTGCTATTGACAGTTGTTGCGCGGGTATTTCCCTCTGAACTTCTGACACGATCGATGCTAATGGGGCCAGTATGTATGTCATGAGGTCAACTCGGCTGTATCATTCTTACCCAAACTTTTTCATTAAGTCGAATCGCATTTCACTAATCAGATGCGACTTCTTAACGCAAGACGTGGTTTACGGGAAAGACAGATGATGAGATGATAGTTCCCCATCCAAACCAGAATGTTTTGAGGACCAAAAACTAATAAATTTGCCATTACTAGAGTAGACCAGCGGGTGCATCAAGAAGACCAATTCGAAAATAAGCTTTTTTGCAGGATTCATTCAATAATAAAATACAGCAATATTTTCTGGGGGCACAGAATGAAATGAATCAACAACACAGAGAAACCGAGGTAAATAATGCATGGATGTGTGTCATATGTCATGTTGCATGAGGGTGTCTGTGTGCATACCAGTTCAAGATATTCTGCCGATTAAATCAGTGAACAAACAATTTAACATTCCTTGGCGTCAGGCGTTAAATCCCCATGGGATTTGTGACTGGTCATGGAAAATCTGAGCCTCAGGATGTACTTTTAGTACACTAAGAAAGGGGTTGTTCAACCGAATCGCAGTCGTCCTGGAAGCTGACAGCGAGTGATGCTAGACATTTTTGATTGCACTGCGGTGATTTTGTAGACAGATCCGAATGATTGACTCATTCGGACACAATGGTCCCTTTTGAACAAGTGAGCGTCGACTTTTTGCGTCCCTCCCGCTCGTGTCTCGTTAACATTAACCTCATTGAGGGGTCAGTCAACTCACAGATGTTAGGACACCACCAGTGGTCTTGTGGTGGCAGCGAAAATTACAAAATAAGGTCACGCACACACAGTAATTGCGGTGATGCTTTGGGGAAAATTGATTTGCGAAGTGACTTTTGAATCGAAATTTCCATACTGAGCTTCATAACTCGATCGCGTAGTGTTTTACGCGACTCTGCCGGTTAAATGCGACTTTTCTTAATTCACATTCAACTGATAGTCATTTGTGAGTAGTGGTGTGCAAGAAGTGATATTGATATGGAGTGACTACCACCTGTCACCGACACTCATAAGATTTTGTGAATCATGATCGTGTGAATTTCTTTTAAACCGATGAAAATCGAAATTTGTCTTGGATTCAGTTGCCAGATAGTTCTTTCTGGTTGACTGCAAACTGTATCATTAGTGTACATTCAAAAAAGCGATGATACCTCCATCGGAGCTGACCTTCTTTTGATCTCAGTTAGTTTATTCAACGTATGACATTCGTTGATTGGTTGACTATCGTAATATCCTTGGTGGCACATTGATCTGCATTACTAGAGGCTAATCTTGATATTCGATGGTTAGAAACGTGATCATCTGGTCAATACCTTAGAGATCATGGTTACACTAATGAAAAAGGATGGAAAATTAAAAGCTGTAATGAGGCGATGATGATTGCATGTTTTCGGCGATCGCAGATAAGGCTACATCACTGGGTAGAAACTCAATTAGAGCTTCTTTTTTAGTGCAGTTGGCTCATATGAGAACTCGATTCAGAGCTCAAACGGTAAAATTGCCCTGAACGAGGGGTTGATATCCGAGGCGCGGAGCTGAAATGAACGAAAGTACAATTCTGTTCTCTTCGTCATCACGAATAAATCCACATTAGATCGTGGACTGTCTCCGAGTTAACAAGCTCGATAATTCTTATTGCTTGGGAATGATTGAAGGCTGCGAGTTCGAGCTTCGACTTGCATGATATTTACCCGGTGAAAGAGGGATTCAGGGAGCTATTCGTGTGGTTTTCAGCGTCGACTGTTTTCTCTATGAGAATTCAATCGATTTAATTTAAGGGATAAAATCAACGACTTACACTGCCAGATTTATTAAATCGTAATTCCAATTGATCGGTGCTAAGTTAAGCTTTTCCCTAATGTTCGTGACTAATCTCGACGACATTCTTTAATCTGAGTCGAAGTGGACGCAATTTAGAGATATGAAAAAAATTTCACGATATCCAGGCGTATCAAAGAAACAAAGAGACTCAAAAATCAGAACGATGGTGAACGAGCATTCTTAAAATCCGCGACATATTTAATCATAGTGAATCGAAAAGAAATTGAATGTAGCCAAAAGAGTTCCCCGAAGCAATGTGCGGTCTAACTGCAGTTTAAAACAGAGAGCTTCTATCTTTACCGTCTCTTCATGAAATAAAACCTATGGTGCCACTCCAGAAACATTATCTGAAATTCCACTTTCTTTCTTTCTCCCATCATCTTGATATCCTCTTGCGAGAAGCCACCCCGTATGACGAAATCGTCCACAAACACGACACGTGCTAACGCAAGTCGAGATGGGGCTCGACCGCGTCGACCTTTCAGTTCCGCTTCAGTACCACCAATCAGCTGTCTTTCCTCGCCATGCTCTACGGAACGCAAGCATCGAAGTCAAAAAGCAAACAGTTTGGAATCGTCTTATGAAACCATATACGATGCTGTTTTGAAAACAAGGTGAATGATTCCACGAGATCGAGCCTCTCTATCCGTAACAATCTGTTGAAAGATCTAAAAATTCTGAATAACGTCTAAGGTTTCCATAATTTTTGATATTCTCGTTTGTTTGGTTTTCCTGTTAAAACCTTTACAACTTGAACAGTGAATGATAAACGTGACCGTTTCTTGGAGAAATCTGCACTGATAAAAGTGGGTCCATCAGTCATCCACCGAAAACATGCAAAAATATGTCAACAACCAAATAGATAAAATTGGCTAAGTGTTAGCATTAAAAGTTTATATAACTTAATCGAAATATAACATAATTTGCAGTTAGGCAGTACCGTTCACACAACCTCATGGTTTCTGTCGAGATTCATATGGGTCCCTAGTCCAAGCCCGAAAGATAAATTGTACGATTACCAGTGTCAGGCTTTGGGTCCTCATGCCTAAGGGATTTGCTGTTGCTACTGCGTGACTAGCGAATAATCCGGGTGGTTAAGAACCACCAGAGATACTAGGTACATAATCCAATCAGATTAGAACTCGAGCATGGCGTGACAACTATTCGGGCTATCCGGAATGACTCTCAGCAGATTCCGACATATTAACACTTGATATAGCGCCTATACCATACTATCGTTGAAAGCAACGGACTTTACCAGACACTGATTGAATCCCTCTTGCACGACCACTCAGAAGGGGCCTATTCGGACTGAGCACGAAGTTCGCACCAAGTGTGTGTTAATTCGCTTTATGTGGGAGGCTTTCATTTTATTTATGTAGGATCATTCGTCAGGCGGAGTCAACGTGGTACTCATCGCTGAACAGCTGAGCGCCATTTCATGTAGTGTTGGTGTGTAGGAGGCCAATAACAACCGGCTTAAGTAACCCCATTATTTAATGAAGAGAATAAAAATCATTGTTATTGATTCGGTTGATATGCACAGCTGATAGTTCCCTAAAAGGATGAAATTCTCATGAAGTAATGAACCTTTGCATCGAAAGTCTTCCGATGAGAAATGACGTTGATTCTGCCTGATATATTCACCCTACAAATCGACTTCGTATCTAATTTGTTCACTCCGAGGCGAAAATAACATTCGCAGCATAATTGTTAGTTTTTGATGCGCTGCATAAAACCGGGCAATACACTTTTTCGCGATTCAAGTTCATTAGCGGAATAATTTATTTGATGCAGACTTTCAACTACTAACGAGTAATATATACCAAAATTCTGAAGAATTTGATAGATGCTCGAATTTCGTTTGCACAAAAGGTAATAATAGTATAAATATTAGAATATAGTACTCATAATAAAATGCAATATTATTATAACATCCATTATTATTCAGTATGAACTATCGAAGAAACAACTCTAAACGCAGCACGTCAACATGAGCGCATTCCTCTGTGATATATATATATATATATATATATATATATAATGTTCATTGGAAAATAACCGAATGTTCATTATGCATTGTAAAATCAGCTATTCCACGCATGACATTGGATATCTGGTTCTTTACTATGCTATCGTAAAGATAATTAATCGTTTCAACACTGGTACACTTGACGACACGTAGAGCGAAGACATAGTTTTGTTGTTCAGGTTCAATGCTTTTATCCGTATTGCGTGCGATATGTTTCATTGGTTGACTGCTCATTAGTTCTATTGTAGAGACAAGTTATTGTGCAACTGAATGGGACGGAGAACCAGCCATTGAAGGTCTTGGGTAGTACAAAGTAACTGAACTTAGAGAGCAATCGAACATGTATGGTTTAGGTTGATCGTGCACATGTGGATGCTTCAGCCTTGTGGTGTAGAGTCTCAAGTTCTTTTGTGATAAGGTTCCTAATCTTTCATCTATTCAGTAATTGCTTCTTTCCGAGCATCTGTATCACCCTTAGCCCTGTAAAGTTGCTGAAATTGAGTGCTGTCAGTCTGAATTGTTTCCAGTTTCTTACCGCGTTCGGCTCTGTTCATCAACACTGTTCGAGCATCTGTTTCAGCCTTCGAAATCACCAGTTTGTGGTCTTGATTCAGTTGCTTAAGTGCTTCATGTTGATGTTTTGTTAGGATCCCAAGGATTGTTGTTTTTTAAGATATGCAACAGGAAGAATTGAGCACCGTTTGCTTCAAATGTTCTAAATGAAACATGTTGACTGTAGCTTTCGGGGTATCCAATTTTCAAACTGCGTCATTTTTAATTCACCAATTGTGTGATCAGCTTCTCTCACTTCATCGACCTGTTCGAGGAGAGAACTACGAAAATTCTATGATAGCTTAACTGTAAAGCATCGCCTTAACAAAAGGCACTGGTAGATGTCGAAAGCCGAATGAATATCACCTGTGACAGGGTGAGAAGCAATTTGATTTGATGTGAGCAGTGAGTTTGTCTTGACCGATGAAACAACGAGTGGGTCAAAGTACCTAACAATACGGAATGGACAACTGAAGCAGCTGTCAGAATGGAGCTCAATGTTAATCCTACCGGACGATAATGTCAAGCTATACTAAATGTATCCTGGCGTTCTCCGTCAACCGGAGACTGCCAAATCTTTTAACCCCACTGAACATCAGTATGATCATGTCACCAATTAATGCTTTGAGGCAACACAACCTGGCGGCGATGAGAATACTCGCAAGGTATTGGGGAAAAAATCTCAAGATTTCATATCAAGCATTGGCGATAGCATGCTACGCTGACAGGCTGTCACTACTAGTAAAGGTGGTTCTATCATGTTCTAATCAATTTTATTTTCAATAAACGTTTATCCCCCTGAACAGCATGTTTATGGGGGTCTGGAAGCAGTTGGTTGGCATTTTGCCACCGTGAACATGTTTCAAAGCGTTTGGAATAGATGTGTGATTTTACCCTGTGGGGTGCTGTTCTCATTTGTTTTATCAAAAATACGCTGCACTTTGGGATCATTCATTTTTCACTGCTTTCAGCCATGTTATCACCTTTATCTTAACCCCATTGATCCCACAGAAGCGAAAGTGCTCGATCACACAATCCATACGAGGTTGCGACGCATTCCACGGATAACAAAACATGTGACTATTTGTGATTCGTGGAACGATATGACCGCATGCGGTCATATCGTTCCACGAATCA